TATTAATTATATCTTTAAGGTATATATTAGATAAATTCTTAAATCAAACTTAACATTTATATTTTTAATAAAAAATAATTATAAAAAATATATTTATTACATTTTTATCATGTATTTTAATAATACAATATAAAAAAACCCTTTTTTTATAACTAATTATATTTAATTATAGTCAATTATAATGTCTTATTGGATTTTGTGCCTAAAAATTTTTTTCCCAAACCAAGCCGACTCAAAATATATATAACTTCCCAAGAAAATATTTCTTAAAAGGTAGAAACCAAACATACCCTCAACCTCTTTAGACCCCACCAAGAGATTGGTGAGGAGATACACATATTCAAGCTTTTACTATTGGATGAGGAAGTTTTTAACTTCAAATCTTAACATTTTAGTCACACCATTTTAAGACTTTTTTTGTTAATGTTAAAAAATATTAATTTTAAGAGTTTAATTTACTATATTAATAAATAAATATTGTTTTTTAAACAAAATTTAAATTTTTAATTTTTGGGAAAAAAATTCTTTAAATACACAAGACCAAAATTATTATTATTTTTTAAAAAAAGAACTTAGCCACTCGTAAAGTAAAAAAGAAAAAGGAAAATTAGCGAATTGGGTAAATTACGAAATTAAACGGAACTGACAGCTAGACCGGGCGAAAGAAATAGGAGTATAAGTGTCATTATAGATGAATATTTAAGATATTATTGATAGAGGGCGTAGATTCATTCCTCAGCTGGACAGCGTTTAACTATATCCAAAGGGAAGAATTTCTTATCCTCTACCACTCTCGTTCCTTCTTTTTCTGATCTCCGTTGCCGGTTTTTATTTTTTTTCTTACACTTGAAGCTCGCTCTCTCTTTTCCTCTCATTCCGATCGCTCTATTTCCTGAGACTCTTCAATTCAGATCCTAAAAAGAATTGTTTCAATTCTCCATTAACGGATCAGGATTCTGAAATTTAGAAAAGCTCCACAAGAACCAGAACGTCAAGGTGGTTTTAACTGCGATCGCCGATAAAAAATCGATTTTTTCCATTGATCTGCATAGTCAAATAGCTGCTCGCAACTTTCAGGTGTCAAATTCGCTTTCTATCTCACTGATATATATATTTTTTTTAGAAAGTTGAAGAATCATCGTGTTTAATTGCTAATAATAATTTTAATTCTTGTTATAGAATTTTTTTTAAAGGAAAATAAATTCGACGTCCTTCCTTATTTGGAGTCTTTTGTTCTCCAGGACCATAAATCAATCTGATATTTTATTTCATTTTTTTAAAAAGAATTGTTTCTGTTGTAATAATTTGTTAATTTCAGGTTTCATTTTAGCTAATTAGGAGTTACAGATGGTTTCTATTCAAGGTCCAGTGATGTATCCTGCCATTCGTGTTGAACAAGTTGGGCTCTTCACCCTGCGGGTGAATGGTCCTTTGGTAAGGGCAGGACTGCTGAGAAGTGATATATTTGGATTCAAACGGATTAATGGTTGCAAGAGTAGGCTACATGGTATTACTCGCAGACTAAACACGAGGAAGTGTATGACAGTGCAGTGTACTTTCAGTTCGTCCTCCAATGGTAACGGCAGCATGGCTGAGAATTTCAATGAAAATGATGAGGATTATGTCAACTCCAGTGTAGTTGAAGCCGGTAGGCCATTTAATTTTTAGTTTTATGATTTGCTTGTAATTTATGTACCCTGTAATCAGCTGATGTACTTTATGTTGGTGCCATGTAGTTGAGGTGAAAAGTGGAGCAGATGGTTTTGTGGTCAAAATGAGAGATGGTCGGCATTTGAGATGTGTCCATAACAATCCTCAAGGTGGACATCTTCCGGATTATGATCCCCATCCTGCTATTGTGCTGAAAATGGAAGATGGGACCGGTCTTCTTCTTCCAATTATTGTTTGTATGTGACCTTTGCGGTTGATTCTTGAGAGTATATGTTTATTAGATGATCTTATTGTAGAATAGTTATTCGTCCAATCATATTTATGATGTTTTATTATAATTGCAGTGGAGATGCCGAGTATATTGCTCATGGCTGCATTGCGCAATGTCCAAATTGTATGTTTTAGCTCGTTTCTTTAGTCAGGGTTTTAATTTGCCTGGAAAAATGGATATATTGAATCTTGACTTCTTGTTGAATGTTATACTTTCACATTTGGTTCCAGGCTAGACCTACAATGTACCAAGTGGTGAAAGAGATGGTGGACAAGATGGGCTATACAGTATGTAGATTCTCTCTTCTGAATTTTGTTTTCAAATATGGTTCCACAGTTGGTGGATGCTATTCTCTTCTGAGTATGTCTTTTCTCCTTTGAGATCTAGAATATGATATTTATCTTGGTGTATTTCAGGTCAGGCTTGTCAGAGTTACTAAAAGAGTGCATGAGGCTTATTTTTCTCAGTTATACCTCACAAAGGCATGTAATCACTTCTCTGTTGTACTTCAGTTGACTCTCTCTACAGGTGCACTTTACCATCTTGTGATATGGTATTGGTCAGCATAGAGATTAGTCTTCATTGATGCCTTGTTGGATGTTCTGACAGGTAGGTGATGAAACACAGAGTATCTGTTTTGACCTTAGACCCTCAGATGCCATCAACATTGCTGTGAGATGCAAGGTACTCTGTTTGTGTTTTTATTTTCAGTTTGCTTCTTGTTGCCAATGAATGTTAGACATTGTTGTCTCATTTGCTTTCCTCATTGTCTGTAGGTACCTATACAAGTGAACAAATACCTAGCATATAGTGATGGGATGCGAGTTGTTGAATCTGGCAAGCTGTCAACTCAGTCCCTGGCTTCAGATGGACTATATTTTACTGAATTGGACAGGTTAGTTTTAGATGCTTGGTATTTTCTTTTCTTTTGACTGGTAGGAGATGCATGCATTAGATGCGTTCCCTGGGTTCCTATGACCTGGCTGAAATTTGATAATAGAATCTAGAATGTGTCATGACTTGTTTATGGTTTGAGAACTGAAGGTACTCTTAAGTTGTGTTATAACCTCACTCTTAACTTCTGTGATTGAAGAGAGTAATATTTGGTAGTCTTGATGCTTTCAGATATATAAGCAGATCAATTATAAGAATTTCACATTTGGGATGATAGTCAACATCCCCATAATCCATATGGTATTTGTCTGGTCAGGTGAAACAAGATTTAATAAATGAATTTTTGTTTCTGTTATGTTAAAGAATAGAAAGCAGTTTAACTGAAGTAATATTGTTTCAGGCCCAATGGTCAGCTCTGTCTTGATACTAAGGAGTTCAATCTTGTAATCAACATGGTGGAGGCTGTTGATCAGGAACGCTATGGAGATGCTGGTATAGATTTTTTTTTTTTTTTTTCCAATCTGTAATGCATATTTTGTTCTGCTTGAGTAATTCATTTTTGAGATTTCTTATTTGCACTAGCCTCATAAATTATTTGATAGAATGCTGTAGGTATATTATGGGTATCACTCTTTATTTGCTTGGAAATGAAATCTAGTTTAGATCATGGCATTATGAGACAGAGCCCTATTGTAATCAAAATAGAAATTCACTAAATGTTGCATATGGAGTTTACTGATGCCAATAACCTCAGGTAGTGATCTTTCAAACATCCTCAAGCTATCTGTTTTGTTGTCCATTACAGTTATATAATTATGACATCCTTGGATTTCTCCTTTATGATCTTTTCCTCATCGGTAATAATTTTGTGATTGTTATACTCTGTAACAGCTGAATGGAGAGATAAGCTCAGTCAATTTCGGGCTAAAAGGAACCTGAGGAAATTTACTTGAGAGGTGCTTTGCTATCAACTGTCTGCAAATGAATTTTCTCACCACGCTCCTGTTACACACACAAAACACACATTATGCCAGTGTCTTCTGCCTGTTGAAGTTTGACAACCCTTTTCTGTGACAATAAATATGAAAATAACAAATTCTCTCCCTCTCTCTCTCTCTCTCTCTCTCTCTCTCTCTCTTTTCCTTGTTTCAGTTATTACTGAAGAATTTAGTTGTAGATAAAATCATTGTTCGAAGCTGATGAATCTACCACAACAGTAGTAATCAGTTATGTCTCCCTTTCTCCAATATGTACGCAACAAGTATGTGAATATTTGTACAGTTAGATTTATAAATTAGTAATGTAATGCAAAGCACATTGATTAATAATTGCCTCTACGCTGGTAGACTGTCATTGCATGGTTAGTTTGGGTTCATTATCACTTGTATTCTGGTTTCTGTGTCAATCTTTCATTATCCTCGCTGTGAAGCTTCATACTGTTGTCTTGTAAGGGGTATAGCTTAGTTTCATAGCTCAAGTATTTTGTCCCTTAAGCAAAATCATGATTTCTCCACTTCTGAACTACTTGGTCGTCTCTGTGTTCTTGGGCTTCCAAACAATGGCCCATGGTTTAGGCCGTTACAATGGGAGTAAATCTTCTTTTTCTTTTTCTTTTTTTTAATGGATTTTCTTTTCCTTTTTTTATCAACAAAGAAAGATACATTATATTTTCGCATCCCCATTGTCATTGAAACTGAGCATTTTTGTTCTTTTTTCTTAAAATCAAGGAAATACCCATTCAACGATTATATAAATTATTGTGCAAGTTAAAAAGATCCACTGATTCTGAATTCATTAAAGAAAATGTTACAAACAAGCATAGAAAAAGCTATATTCATCATCTTTATTAGCTAAAAACAAAGGACAATAATAAATAGAGGAATGAAAGAATTATTCTGGAAATAGAATGATTATTACTACTCTTTTTTGGCCCAAGGATACAGAGGCATTGATTCTTTACTTGAAGTAAAAGCAAAATCACCAACCCACAACAATTCAGCTCACCGACGGCTTCCTCTACGACTTCCCGCCAAGCATATGTCCAGTTAGTCACGCGCCACATTGCCACGTGTCGATCTCCGAGCTCAGCGCCACCAACAAAAATCGACCGCCACTCGCACAATTTACGTTTTCACGCACACACCGTTGCTCAGCGTTTCCGTATCGTCCACTCTCTCCTTTGGCTTCGCCGTACGTTATTCAAATTTAATCCGCACCAGATGAATTTTAACCCCTCACCTCTCTCTTTATGCTCGAGATGGACTGTCGATGTCGGAGACGAAGTTTCTTCAGGTGAGGTTGCTCTAGATCTGCAGTGATTTCATTCGGTTTGACACTTGTTTGTTCTTTAGGTACCGGATTTGTGTTCCTAGAGTAATTCCGTTGAGGCATCAACCATGTCCGGGCATCTGGATTGCTTAGCCAAGCCTTGTGAGTGATGATCTTTATATTATCTTCTTGTTCTTTGATTATTTAGCCTTTTTTGTATTGATATTCTGGTTAATTTTGAGATTTATGATGTTGCATTGTTGAATTAAAGTTGTTCATTGTTTAAAGAGATTTGCGAATCTCAATTCAGATTGTGTAATTTCAGCTGTGTTTGTTTGCCGGTTGATTCATAGAGGAGTAGCAAGTGATAATTCCATGTTAGTTGTACTAAATTGTTGTTGCTGTTAGGTGCATCTGGTAAGATTCTTGATCATTGAGTTCTATGATTTACTTTAAATAATTGAAGGTGTATTCAGTTATAGAAATTGGTTTTGGTCTTCGTAGTCAGTTGGGAGGCAAGATCTCAGAAAAAGTCTTATACACCATGTAGAATTTGGATTGCCAGTCTTCGAAAGCTAGTCCTCTGTTGTTATTGTGGAAAATTTGGATTCAACTGGATTTTAATTGTGGTCTGGCGCTTGTCTTGATACAAGCACCTAATATGTGATTTATTTTGCAAGATATATGATGTTGGACACACTATGCAGGCTTTGAGGGGAGCAATGGGGAAAAAAGAGAGAGAAAATCAGATTTTGAAATATCTGAAGATGACAAGAGGACTAAAATGGGGAATCTTAAAAAGAAAGTAGTAAAGACTTCAAGTAAATTCAGACATTCTTTCAAGAAGAAAAACAGAAGGAAAAGTGAAGCTCAAAATACATCTCTTTCAATAGAGGATATTCGGGATGTTGAAGAGCTGCATGCTGTGGATGCATTCCGTCAAGCACTGATCCTAGATCAGTTGCTGCCGGCCAGACATGATGATTATCATATGCTGCTGAGGTAATTTGTCATCCTTCTATTATACTTGTAAGTGTTGAAATGTTGTCAAACTTCTTCTAGGACCTAATTGTTTTAAATACTCAATGGAACTCACGTTTTATCTTGGAGAATTTTGACTCTGTAGTTTTAATGAAGTAACTGTCTTGATGAAGACTGAAATTTTTGGGCTTTACGTAGACCACATGTAAAATTTTGTTTTTAAAATTATTCTGGTAGAGTCCTCAAGGAAAACGAACCTATTGGTGACTACCAGGCCATTTTTGGTGTCTACACATGTAAGGTGTGATTGTTTTCAGTGTGTTCTCATTTAAGATGTGGTTGTGTCATATCGTAAGTGTAAACTCCATCTCTAAAATACCTGCCAAAAAACTTTTAGAGAGCAGCTGCTTTTGCTTTCCGTATCTTCTGTTGAAAATTCTATATTTGAATTGGCCATACCTTCAGTTAATTCAATTCTAATCAGTAGCTAACTAGTAAAGAGTGGTAACTACACTGCCCAATATCTTCTCTTTTTAGTCTTTTATATATTTTGCCTTCCGTGTAGAAACTTCAATTATTATTATTATTATTATTTTTTAATTCTTCATATAGCATATCTCAAATTCATAGAAGGTGATAGATGTCAGCATAGAAACATATACACACATGCACGCGCATGTACATAATCCTATCTTGAATGATTATTTTCTTGCAGGTTTTTAAAAGCAAGAAAGTTTGATATTGAAAAGGCAAAACAAATGTGGGCCAATATGATCCAATGGAGACATGATTTTGGTACCAACACAATTGTGGAGGTGATTTCATCTACTGGTTTTGTCTTAATCCCCTATTTCCACTTTTTGCAGCATATATCCTAAGAATTCCAATATTGCTTGGAGTTTTCATTTTATTTCTTGGTTTCTGTATATTCAGTACTTGCCTGGTTTTCCATGGTACAAGCTGACGCCTGTATTCTGTTTATCAGGATTTTGAGTTCAACGAGTTGAGCAAAGTTCTAGAGTACTACCCTCATGGTTATCATGGGGTGGATAAAGAGGGAAGACCTGTTTATATTGAAAGACTAGGAAAAGTTGACCTCCACAAGCTTATGCAAGTAACCAATTTGGAGCGATTTTTGAGATACCATGTGCAGGGTTTTGAAAAGACTTTTTCCATTAAGTTTCCAGCTTGCTCTATTGCTGCAAAGAGACACATTGAATCAAGCACAACAATTATAGATGTACAAGGCGTGGTGTGTTGTTCATTTTTCTGTAGAAAAATTTTTCCTGGCATCATTTTATGTTTGGACTATTTGTGTGCTGTGTTCATGTAGTGATCATTCTTATTAATTATTCGTAGGGTCTTAAGCACCTAACCAAGGCTGTACGGGAACTTATCATGCGGCTGCAGAAGATTGATGGTGACTACTATCCTGAGGTTTGTAGTTCTAGTTGTAAATATTCTCAAATTAATTTTGGAAGTTGCTTACTTTTTCAATGTAAATAGATAGAATTGCAGGATTCAAAATCAAAGATTATGATCTGCATTGTCAAACTATATGTCTGCAGACTCTTTGCCGAATGTTTATTGTCAATGCTGGTCCTCTTTTTAAGGGGCCTTGGAATGTTGTCAAATCTTTTCTTGATCCCAAAACAGCTAGCAAGATTCATGTATGTTCAATAAATTGTCTGGTTCTTTCTTTACATCTATCAAGAAGATGAAAATGGTTTTGGTTCCTGTAGATTGACTTAATTTGTAAATTTCCTTGTAGGTTCTTGGTCACAAGTATCAGAGCAAATTACTGGAAATAATTGATGCAAGGTAATTTTTATATTCTATTTAATTCTCATTTATCTTGGTTTAACTACTGTGTACCATTCTTATATATTGGGCTTGTTTAGTGAGCTGCCACAATTTCTCGGTGGTAGCTGTACTTGTGCTGATCAGGGAGGTTGTATGAGATCTGATAAAGGGCCTTGGAATGACCCAAACATACTAAAGGTTTGATTTTCACCTCTATCTGATTCATGACATACTGATTTTTACCTTTCTTTTGTAATAGTTCATAGTACTTTGTACTTGTTATGAGCTTTTTGATTGTCTGCTTTCATGTAGATGGTTCTCGGTGGTGAAGCATTATATTCCAGACAAATAGTGACAGTGTCAAATGGCAAGCGCAGAGTAATTTTGTATGATAAGCCATGCCATCCATTGGTATGGCCCTCTAGACTGTCTTCCAGGATTGACATCATGATTGCCCAATTTTGCTTTTTAAATTCATTCACACACACTCTAATTCTATCTAATGCTTTTTCCTGTTTTTCTTTGTCGACTCAGATGAGAGGTGGTGATGCATCTACTGCAGAATCAGGGTCTGACGTTGAAGAAATTGCTTCTCCTAAGCCATCTAGAAGTTGTTTGCAGCCAGCATTGGCTTCTGTTTGTGAAGACATGTTTATGGTGAGTGATCAGATTTTGATAATATTCAAATTTCATTTCTAAGTAAAGTCATTCTAACATTCTGTAATGCTGTGATTATATATGGCTGTTTTGATCATTTCAAGAGTAGATTAATGAGGAATCTTGCTAACATACTAAGATGTGACTGATGGCAGTCAACTCCAACTGTTAATTTACGTTCCTGTCCTAATGGCAACAATCTCCATCTTCATATAGGCTAAAATGGCTGGTAAGTCAAGCTCGGGTGGTGGTTTAAGTGAGTTTGATGAATGTGTGCCCATGATTGACAAGGTTGTGGATGCGGTATGGGATAAAGTTGAGTTTCAACAAAATATCTCTACTTCCAAAGGTTTGCATTTTGCACTTATATAAACTTGGTTCCCTGTTTGTTTCTACTCCATGGAAATGTCAACAGAATGTGCATGGCAAACTCATTTCAAATTTGTGTTTTGACTTTTAGCATAAAGAAGAAACTCCTTTCAACATAATCTTTATACTTCCAGATGGTACATTCATACACATTTTAGAATTTTAAGTATAGAAACCTGCCATGGTTTGAAGAGGTGTGCCAATGCCATTGCAGGGGCCTGCTCTTTGTCGACTATAGAAAATAATCCTGAAGGATTCCCCACTAAAATTTGGGCTGTTATAGTCACCTTCTTTTTTACCTTTCTTGCTCTTATCCAAAAATTGGCATTCCAACTGACTAAGAAATGCTGTATGCCTGAAATGACCCGTGCCTTCCCTGATCCAAATGGTGAATCGATGCACAAGGAAGAGTCTCGCCTCTCTTTGCCTCCTCCAAGGTATACAGAGGCAGACCTTGCATCATCTGTTCTAAGAAAACTAGAAGAGCTTGAGGAAAAGGTTGAGATACTACAATCAAAGCCATTTGCAATGCCTGGTGAGAAAGAGGAGTTGCTGAATGCTGCTGTTCATCATGTTGATGCATTAGAAGCAGAGCTAATTGTTACCAAAAAGGTCATTATATCTGAACTTATACCAAAATTGATCAATATTTGCTGCTTTGTTGTCATTGCCTATTTTAAATTCTCTAGGTTCTTCACTGGCTAAAACCCATCTTGGACCTACCTCAGTTAGCTCGACCATGCTGATTGCTAGCAAGTCGAAGCCTGCTCATTAAAAACTCCACCCACAGTGGTTCTTGTTATGTCCTGTTGCTTAGATATCAATGTCTTTATTGTAACAGGCTTTGCATGAAGCTTTGATTAGGCAGGATGATTTTCTTGCATACATTGATCGTCAACAAGAAGCGAAGTTGCGGGTAAGTGAAAGAATATGTAAATTGACTAGCAACAGCACTTCAAAATCCAAATCTTTAATCTATATACATTTTCATTTGTTATCAATTGGAGGAGTGACTGCACTTTTGTCCCTGTGAAGCAGAAAAGGAAATTTTGGTGGTGAGAGCGAGATTCATATACAGGAGGCACTCTTGATGGAAATTCTATCTGCATATACAATTTCGTTACCTGTATATGGTTCTTATAGTATCTTGTAAATAAATACATGCATAATCAAACTTCTCTCCATAGATATTCATAGAGAGGTGTACCGTCCTGGTTTCGATGGTGTTATTTACTTATTTTTGAAATGAAAAAAACACCCTTCAGTTCGCATTTCTGTAAGAATGGTGTTTTTTTTTTTTTTTTTTTTTTTTTTTTTTT